CTGTGGTTCAGAGTGAAGGCTGAGGGCTCAGAGGTGAAATAACAGCCTCACTGGGACAAACCGAATGAGAAAACCCTGCTGACATGTGGACTGACAAGCTAACGTTTACGTCACGGCATCACTGCGATGACGCAGAGGGACAAGACAATAAAGCTTTTCATTGATCTGTAGTGTGGATTTGTATATATATATATTTGTCATGTTTAGGTTTCTATGCATATTAACAATGTTACCAAATAAGAAATTCACTGTGACTTATATACAGATTGTTTATTTAGTTATTATTAGTAGTAGTAGTGTTGTCAATTAATTAATTTTTAAAATATTATTTCTTTCACCTTCACCAGCTCCAACTACACCCCGGTGACTTTGTCTGTCCTCCCTGTTTATGTCTCCTTCTCTGTGATAAACCTAATTCTGTCGTTTTAGCCCATTTGTTCTTCGCTCTTTCACCAAATGATGTTGTAATGTCTGTCTCTGTTTCTCTATAATGAACTCTATGAACCTGGTGCTTATTTCAGTGATGTTAAATCTAATAGTACACAATACAGTCTGAATGTTGTTTTCAGCAGCTTTTGACTAAGTTTGGTCAGGAAATGTTTTTGTCCGTTAAACTTCACAGGCTGTTTCATTGTTCCTCAGCTACAGTCTTTTCATGTTCATCAGAGCCGACACATACATGTTATAAATTCATTCAGAAAAGCAAACATTTACAGGACAGCCGGCCCTTCGAGCTGTGGCTAGCTGAAAGCTGGAGGGACGAGACAGTGATAAACACACGAGGATGGGAAAATAGCAGGAAAGGAAATGTGGAAGTTGGCGGATGCACGAAGGGAATGAAGGAGTGAAGGAATTTGGAAACAATGGGTCTTTGTTAACACTGACCTTCCCTCTCTCCCTGCCTACACTACACCTTCAAGCTACCTCCCATCCCTCACTCCAACTGCTCAGGGTATTTGTTTTGGTATTAGGTACTGTATCCACCAGCCAGTCAGATTTCAGATAATATTGCTAAACAGACGCTTGTGGGAAGCAATGACCTTTAGCATGCTCAGTTCACATTTTTAGAGCAGTTGGTTCTCTTTATTGTGTCTTTTTAGTCGTGAATCCTCTTGAAATTTCTTTTTTGAATGTGAATTTAAGAGTCAGTTAATCAAATTAAATAATTGTTTATGCTAACGCTTAACAATTAGCATGAGGTTGGATTAAACAAATATAGACGCTGAAAAGTCAGACCTATTCAGCTCCTTTGTGCTTCTCGGCCCTAATTATCATGTAGCACTCTGAGGCAGGCAGTGTGGGACCCGATTGCAGCATTCAGAGAAAAGAATAGATTAAAAGAGGCAGCTTTATTACTGAAACTAAATAATTTAAAAAAATCAAGAATAGAAGAAAACTAGGAGCAAACAACTGGAAAACTACAGGGTGCCCATGAAACTCACAGAAGACTCTGGAAGCAAAGCAAGAGGGGACAACGCAACAGAGAAGACAGGAAGACACAGATTATTTACACAGAGGGAGACTAGAGCAGTGTGGACACAGCTAAACAGAAGCTGACCGACGAGACACCGCGAAGCAACACTGAACATAATACACACAAGATGGGAGGTTATCAAAATAAAACAGGAAGTAATATACACTGACTTTAGACTGAGCTCAACACTGGGACTGAGGCTAAGCAGACGGACAAAACACAGCGAGAGCAACATGAGAACATGAAGAGGGCAAAAAACATTGACAGGACTACAAATGTGTTCATTAAAAACAAGACAGGGAAAGCAGACAGAGAGACAGAGCACAGAGAGATGAGATGTTTAATCTCAATGACATTTTTATCTTGATAAATAAAAGACTAATTAGTGGCAGGTCCAGGTAGCTTTACAGATGGCGCCATAGCAAAAGCAATTTTGTTAAAACTTTTGTTGTTAAATTTTACTTTTCTCTTGGTAGCTTCAAAATATCTATAAAAAGTAAAAAGTATTCACTCACCCATCCAAATCATTTGTTCCAATCATATGATTTGACTTCCATGGCCACAGGTGGATAAGACCAAGCACCTAGGTTATTATTGCATAACAAATATTGTGAAAGACTGGGCTGCTGTCAGGAGCTCAGAGACTTCCAGGATGCTACCTGTGCAACAAGTCCAGGCATGAAACTTCCTGGCTGCTAAATATTCCAGTCCGCCATTGATGGCATCATAACAAACGTGGAACCGATCGGAAACATCAGCAACTCAGCCGCAAAGTGGTAGGCCACGTAAAATCACAGAGCGAGGTCACAGAGCTCAAGAACAGTGCGTAGAGAGCTTGGAGTGGGTCATAATGACCGAGCAGCTGGAGATGCTGCCACTGGACTCTGGAGCAGTGGATACGTGTTGCTTGGATGAGCCTTGGTTTGGCAGTTGCCAGGAGAATGGTACTTGTCTCACTGCAGTGTGCCAAGTGTAAAGTTTGCTGATGGGGGATTATGATGTGGGCTTGTTTTGCAGGAGTTGGGCTTGGCCCCTTAGTTCTAGGCATGCTGAAAAGTTAACACTCCCAGCTTAATGGGAACCTTTTGTAGATGGCCCTTCCGGTTCCAACATGACTTCACATCAGTGAACAAAGTGCGGTCCCTAAAGACATGGATGAGCGATTTTAGTGTGGAAGAATGTGACCTTAACCCCACAGAGCCCTGACCTTAACCCGATGGACCACCTTTGGGCTGAATTACAACAGAGACCTCTCATCCATGGCTGACTTCACAAACGTCTGGAAGAGTGGTCAAAAATTCCACAAAGAAGTTTCTAAATGTAAAGTTTCGACATTTTTCTGACAGTCCAGCACTGGTTTGTGCCCATTTTAAGAAAAAGAAGTGATGCCTTTCCATTCGTCCATCTGTATTAGGCTGACCTTAAACTGGACACTGAACACAGGGATTACTGTTATTTCTGTTTACACCCCCACCTCCATCCTCCCCCCACCACACACACACACACACACACACACAAAATAGCTCTGTCAGTGTTTTTCTCTCACAAGATTGCCGTGCTTGCATCTGTCTTTCTGATCCCTTTCTTTTTTTTAATCTGAGCAGAGAGGAGGATTAGTTGGAAGGAAGCAAAAGGTAGC